ACTGGTACGGTGTGTTATACAAATTGTTCAAACTATAATGTGGTACTGGTTGCGAGAGAGAAAACGAGCGAACGTTTGAGCGAGAGAGAAAGAGAGTGCTTTATACCTGAAAAATAATAAACACTCTTAAGCGGATAAATTAAAATTACGGTTGCAGTTACAGGAATTAAGGGGTTTAGTGATAGAGATAGAAAGAAAGAAAGAGAACAAAAATGGGAATAAGAAGAAGAGCATAACAAAAAGTGAATGCATTGCTGGTTTAGCAGAGTTTGAGAAAATAAAAAAAAGGAGCAGCAAGCCCCTTGACTTAAAAGGAGCCACAAGAGAAGACGCACTCATAATACCTATTTTATAACTATATTTATCAGTACGATAACGCGCTATATATATACATAACTAAGTACTATTCGTAAATACATAACATTATAAAATAATTGAAAAACGACTGTGATATCGAACGATCTTGTGACATTCAATTTTCAAGCGAATTGAAAGAAAATAAAAATGATAAATGTGAGCAAGAAAGAAGAGAGAGAGAGAGAAAGAGAAAGAAAAATGAAGAAAAAGAGAAATGAAACATTAAAATGAAAATACAAATATTAAATGTATTAATTTATCGGTATTGAATGTCGGGAAATGTATAGCTCGATGGTGTTCGAGCTGTAAAGTTGGAATATTAAGTCGTTACAATAATAACATGAAGAATAACAAATGGCTGTTGTCCGATTGAGGGGAGGGCTGAACGCTAGCTCTTACGGGTTCCAAAGAGGAAACGTAATTTGGGACATTGTTTCTACTTAAAGTAAATCGCGCATTAAAATATGGTAGATAATCAATGACCATACGACGTGTGTCGTCGTGCCGTGTCGTATTGTGTCGTGTCGTGTCGTTATTCAACGTTAATGAGGACTATTATACGATTACGTTGACGATTACGACGGATATAATATGATCGTTGGTAGGGCTTTATAGATTATCGATATCTTTTGTGCAAACACGTCGAATTCTTACCTAATCCATGTAAGAAAAAGTACAAATTCAATTTGCGTGACAACTGACAGGATTTTTAGACATGTCATACTTATACTTGTTATATTAATAGAATTTATATAGTGCAATCGCGTGCGTGAATCGTATGCCGTGTGATCGTGGACCAAGGGTGTGTGAATGCCTCAATCGCGAGGAACGATGATTATTTCAAAATAGAATTTTCACATAGTTTTTATGAATAATTCTTGGCTTCCGACTATATGGTGCAAGTGGTGTTTCAAACTTTTCTAATAAGATTCGTCTAATCCGAGTATACATATACATACATATACATACATATGTATATATAATATTATGTATTATTATATTTGTGTCAGTTTTGATGCCCTGCCAAGAACATTTTAAAAGAGGAGAAGGATAATCCTCGCGTTAAAAAAAAATAAAAAAGAAAAGTGTATGTATATCATATGTCGATGTAGAATTATTTTTACAATCCGAGGAAGGGTTAAGCGTTTTGATTTAAGTATTGTCCTTTTTTTCTTTTTTTTTCTTGTTTTTCTTTTTCTCTTTATTTTGTATATATAAATATATATATATATATATATTTCTTTTTTCTTACGTTTTTTTTTTTTAATTTTAACAATCGTTGATTTTATCATTATTCTCATGGAAGTAGCGTAAATCGTTAGCTTCTCAATTATTATTTTTTGTTTTATTACTTTTGCAGACGTTATCACGCAACGTCGCGCGTACACCTAAAAAATTAAATGAAAAAAAATTATATATATTCATATATTTAACAATATGTATTGTTTTACTTGGCGAGGTAAAGAATCCCATTGGATTTTATTATCCTGAATGTGTGTAACGTATGTTAAAAATACGTAATTTTACGTTAAAGAGTAATAAGAATATTAATTATTCGTATTACATATATATGTTTACGTATTTATTTGGTTAAAAGGTATATTTGTTAATCGGTATTAGTTAAAGAAGATAAAAGAAAGAGAAAAAGTAAGAGAGAGAGAGATAGAAAGAATAAAAATATGTATATTAAACAATTACTCTTGAATTTTTTAACTGCCATATATCCAAATAATTAAGCGCAAATCTTCTAAAGATACTTTGTGTACAATCTCTTGATGTAATTTATTATGCGCTTTGTAATAATTATTATTTCTGTGAAATAACAAATTCAGGATTATAAAATCCAATTTCATTCCTTAAATATGTTATATTATAAACTTGTATTATTTATTGTATATTGTAATTAGCTCCCAGACGGATCTTAACAAAAAGAACAAAAATTTCATCATTATCTCGCGCTTACACATTCAAGTTTTATGGACGGAAATTATATAAATATAAATATATATATATACATATACATAATATTATACATGTATATATATATATAATATTTGGAATAATTTTAAATCTAATTCTGGATAATATTTTATATTTTTTCCATATTATTAATATCATCGTTTCTTATTCGCTTTTATATAATAATTTTATTTAGAATATCGTACAGTTATATTTTGTTTATACAATCACGAACACAGCACTTTGTAGCTCGTAATTCATAGAGAAAAAGAAATAGAGAGAGAGGGAGAGAGAGAGAGAGAGAGAAAGAAAGAAAGAAAGAAAGAAAGAAAGAAAGAAAGGAAGAATAAGTCATAGTTGCTATATCCGTTGCGTAGAAGAAACGGTAAAATATTTTATGGAATGGTCAAATATATTATCAACAGTTTTGTAACATACGATGTATACAAGTATAAGAAAAAAAAAATGAAATAACCAACAACAACAGTAAGAAAAAAAAAAAATCAACAAGCAAATGAACAGAATCTAAAACATATTACGGTATTATGATTTAGAAACGTATTAGCATATTTAGAGAGAACATAAGTGAGTGATTAAATATAGTAATATTAAACAATACTATTTATTAATCTATTTACGATTAGTATTTATTTAAATGAGTTTAAAGTTTGTTTCTCGAAAGGCGCAGTTGTCTTGAAACTGTTTCATTTTTCTCTCTCAATTTTTTTTTTTTTATATTTAACAAGTATCTTTTGTGTCATGTTTGGTCCTCTGAAGTATATCGGACGAGCAGCCTTCGGAAATATTTCATGGATTTCTGTGCTGAAAGAAACTATATGCATATAGTTGATGATGATTATAATGATAATAATTATGATGTTGATGAGGATGATGATAATGATGCTGCTGCTGCTGCTGCTGCTGCTGCTGCTGCTGCTACTGATGATGATGATAATGGTGATGATGGTAATGATGATGATGATGATGATGATGATGATGATGATGATGATGATGATGAGTGGAACGAAAAAAGGGTCGCGCGACCAGAGCATTCATATTCTACTTCGAAATAAGTATGAAAAAAAAGAGAAAAAGCTACAAATTAATAATGATCGTATATTACAAGTGTATCAATGAAACAATGTTTAAACTGTGACTGCAATCATTGCTAAGAGAACAAAATAGCGCGTTTTTTAAAGCACATATACACTAACATACACACAAACATAAGAGACACGTTTAAATATAAATTTATTACATAACATATACACGCTATAAAGATATGATTGCAAGATACATTATATACTTATATATACATACATTTCACATACACATATACACATACACTCAATACACATACACTCAATACACTTACTTAGTCAGACACACTTAAGAGAGTGCAAGCAGTATCAACAAGATTATAAAAGAATTGCGACGTTGTGTGTCGTTAACTAGAAAATTTCTTCACGTGCGAATCTTTCATTGCTTTTTTTTCCAACATGTTATTTTATTAATGATTTATATACATATATATGTATATGTATATTTTTTTTTCTTATCTATTTTTCTTTTTCTTCGTACGCACATTCATTTTCGAATATTAGCGTTTGCGTTGCGATCGTTTCTAGATCATCTTCGGTATTATTTTGTGCATATCATCTAATCTTTAATCATACGTTAGGTATTTTATTTTATTTTTTTTTTTTCTAATTATTAGTTTTTCTTTTTTATTTTTTTTTTCTTCTTAAGAACAAATTATAATTATATATATACATATATATAGTGCTGATTGAGTGGATGATGAGTAAACGAACGAATAAAAATTAAAGATGCGTTATAACTTAAAACCTGCCATTCGAAAGTTAAGCATGCGCTTAGGTGAAAAATGACGAGTGATTATAACGATGACAATGGTGGTGGGTAATGATGACGATACGTGGACATAAAAAAGAAACGGGATGGCAAAAAATAATGTCTGTTTAACTTTAACGAATGTTTCAATTGGAAAGCGTCGTTCGTCATCGTGTAAAATTATGCGAATGGAATGGAAGTAAATAACGAGAATATAAGAATGTGTAGGAGTGAAAAATAATGAATGAAAGATTGAAAGAGAGAAAGTGTATGTGTATGTATGTATGTGTGTGTGTGTGTGTGTGAGAGAGAGAGAGAGAGAGATACATAGAAAATTGTTTAAACGAAAATAAGAACAAAAGAAAGGACAAAAAGTCCATGATCGTTTGCGTTGCGTACCGAGATGAACGGCGCTCATTACATTTTCTTTTTGTAACTGTAATGATACTTCTATAGATCTTGCTTCACTGATGGCGAATAATAACTGGAAAATTGTAAGAATTTCATAGTAAAAGATGAACGTACCATTCTGTCGGTTGGTCTCTTATTAGTAATATTGCACATATACGCACGTTTATGCCTAGATAAGGAGAGAAAGAAAGAAAGAAAGAAAGAAAGCAAAAATATAATTGAGCGAAAGTGAATGAAAGAAAAAGAATGAAAGAGTGTGAGAAAGAAAATGAAAGAAAGAAATAAAGAGGAAATGGGTGGATTGAAACAACATGAACAATTGCAACAACAACAGCAACAAGAAGAAAAATTTAACTGTACGTCGTACGGCTATCGAAAGAAATAATAAATAAAAGAAAGTGTCTCAAGTAAATTAAAAATAAATAAAAAAAAAAAATAAAAATAAAAAAAATAAAAATGAAAATAAAAAAAAAAGAATAAACAACCAGCCTTAAAGTAATACAAGTGTGTGTATATGACTATATAAAAGTATACACATCTCGTTCATTAGCGAATAAGTTCGCGACACGGTTCACCGAAAATAAATGCGTGCTCGTGCTCCCAAAAGAAGAAGACTCGGGTGAAGAATGATTTTATTAGTGTCAATATTGTTACAAAATATACTATACTTCATACGGGTCGATGTATCGCGCATGTTCAGTAACTGTTTATTCGTTCGGTGATTCTTTCGTTTATTTATAGTATTATTATACAGGAAGTGACAGGAGACTTCTACGAAATGAATCGATATAATAATAAAGGTGCGAAAAGGATTGAAATCTTGTGAAATATTTTATATTTTCATTATTTATATCCCTCGATATTAATATTTGTATTATTATTTTTTTTCGGCGCGTTTTTAATCTACCGTTCGGGTAAAAATGTTGACATTAATTTTATTTCTGTATTTAAAATAACAAAAGAAAAAGGTGAAAGATTTGAATATAACATATCGAAGCACATAATGATTATACAACATAACAATAATACATGTTTTATTTGAAGCATCTTGAAGATCCATCGATAATTTATCTATAAGTCGATAATTGAGAATATTAATTTGAAGTATTGATCGTAATACTTTTCAAATTTGTATGTAAAGCCCGCTTCACCGAGCGTTGAGTTATCACAAACTTTCATTGGTGGGGAAAAGTCGCGTGCGCTGGACCAATCACATAAGACCACGATCGCAATGGCGGTTTGGTTGGACAGTTTTATGTTATCGGCTGGATGAGTATATCTTTTTGGAGATAGACTGTTTCTTTACTTATTTATAAAATTACACCGAAGATTGGGAATCAATTTAATATTCAGTCATGTATAACTACGTCTTCTTATTGGTTTTATTAGATTTATCTTTTGATTGTAAGTAATCCTAACCTAGGTCGTTAAGTAAAGTAATTTGTATAAATAACATAATATAGATGTTTGAATGTTAATTTTAGTGGTCGGCAGTGTTTCACAATTAGAAATTGATAAGCATTTGGAGTTAGGTAGAGAATTCCTTGTACATGGACAATTGCAGGATGCATTGTCACATTATCATGTGGCTATTGGTAAGTTTGTTGGTTATATTTGTGTAGACATATCATTCTTCATATTTAACCATATTCTTCATATTTATTTTAGAGGGAAATCCTAATAACTATTTAGCATATTATAATAGGGGTATGGTATATTTGGCATTAGGAAAAGCAAAATTCGCTATTCTTGACCTTGATAAGGTCTTAGAATTGAAGCCAGATTTTACAGGAGCTAAAATGCAACGTGGAAATGTATTATTTAAACAAGCTAAGTTTGACTTAGCGGAAAGAAACTATAAAGAAGTTGTATGTACCTGTTAATATATAATTTATTTGGTGCGTTGATTTATATAAATTAGAATATATGTGTTGTGTATCGGTAGCTTGAAGTGGAACCGAATAATGAGGAAGCTGCAACTATGTTATTTACAATATCAAATCTTGAAACGGATATGCAATATGTAGAAGATATGGTTAAAAATAGGGATTGCAAGACTGCGATCCAACAAATAACACGACTTATAGAAACTTGTCCATGGTCGCTTGAACTTAGAGAATTAAGAGCGGAATGTCATGACGCTTTAGGAGATTATATGAGTGCTATTAGTGATATACGTTCTACTACTAAGTTATTATCTGACAATACAGAAGGTTATTATAAGCTATCTGCAATGCATTATCGTGTTGGCCAAGTAGAAGAATCACTGAGGTGAGATGTGTGTACTTTTCACTGCGAAATTAATTACTTTCAGATTCATAATTATGGATTTTAATGTACCATTAATGTTTAGGGAAATTCGAGAGTGTTTAAAATTAGATCCAGAACATAAAAAGTGTTTCCCATTTTATAAAAAAGTTAAAGAAGTATCTAAATTTCTTGGAAAAGCAGAATCCTTAGAGGAATCCAATCCTCAAGGTTGTATAGAATCTGCTGAACGCGTACTCCGTATAGAACAAACTGTAAAGTATGTTAGATATCCTGCCCTACAGTTCCTCTGCAGATGTTACACTGCTAATTCGGAACCAAGTCGTGCAGTTAACAGTTGTCAAGAAGCATTAAAAATACGAGAAGAGCCATCTACTTTGTGCGACAGCGCGGAAGCATATCTTGCTAGTGAATTATATGACGACGGTAAAGTTGATTTGTCTATTAGGATACAGTTATTTTTATATAATTGTAATTCATTTGATAAATTTATTATATTTGTTTATTTTTTGATGCAGCGATAAGAGATTATAAAAGAGCATTAGACATTGATCCTTATTTCCAAAAAGCAAAACGAGGATTGCAGAAAGCTCAACAACGGCAGAAGATTTCAGAAACGCGGGATTATTACAAAATATTAGGAGTACCTAGGACAGCTTCGAAACGCGAAATTACAAAAGCGTATAGAAAAGCGGCACAAAAATGGCATCCCGATAACTTCCAAGAAGGTGAAGAGAAGAAACAAGCGGAGAAGAAATTTATTGATATCGCTGCTGCCAAAGAAGTACTAACTGATGACGAAAAAAGAGCTAAATTTGACCAAGGGGAAGATCCATTGGATCCTGAATCTGGAAAGCATCAGCAAGGCTTCAATCCCTTCCAAGAATTTCATCATTTTCATGGTTCACCTTTCCAATTTAAATTCCATTTCAATTAGTTATGCAATATGGAATTTAACATGCATTTCGATTTTTAGCGCAGCACAACTGAAATCTTTTGTTTCTGTGCTATATTTTTCGTCGCGTATAATTTCGAATTTGGCTAACAACTTTATTTTTCAAATATGATTTCGCTAAATCTTCTACTCGTTGGTATTCTCGCATTAAAAATATTTCCAAAATTGAAGGACCACATTCGAAAGAACGATTTGTGACGGATCGTATTATTAGAAGACGTAATATTATTACTAATAACACTGCATAACGGAAGTGCGTGATTAATTTATCATTGATGATTAGCTAATTATAAGCTTATATATATATGTATATATAAGCAATATATATACACACACGCATGTTGATTAAACATTTACGTATTTTCTATACGCAGACTGAATCAATAAATATCGTCGAATGTACATCAAGTTAATACGCGTTATGGATAAAATGAATTTTTTTGAGTTATGATATTGAATATAACCAACGAAGTCTATCATTGTTTTAGGATAATCATTTTACGATGATCCTATTGTATCGATTGTAGATACTTTTTATCGAATATCTATTGTGTATGGGTTTTTCGAGATGTATTTTTACTCGATGCCATTGATTATCAGCGAATAAATAGGACAATGCTGTGCGCGTGTGATGTTTGGATGAGTGTGAGTCTGAATTTTATGTAAATATTTTATCTCTAATCATTGTTTGAAAGTATATTTGAATAATTTATACAGATAAATACGGACAAACATCGAATTGTGTAGTAGTATATCCTTTTATAATCCTCCAAAACAACGTTAAATTCATAAGTTTATCTTGTTCTCTCAATTCATTTAATTTTATTTCTCTTTCACCTATTTTTTTGTAAATTTCTTTCCTCGCTTTTTCAATTTCTTCCTTTTCGCCGCTGCCAATTTCTTTCTCTTACGTAATCGTACTTGAAGATCATTGTACTCACCCAATTCATGTCTTACCATATATCCTCTCCATATTGTTTGAATAATCGTAGCAGCACGATCCAAAATCGCTTGATACTTAGCTTCCTCTTCTAATCTTTTAATTTCAGCTAGATTTGCATTGATTATTGCCTCCCTCTCGTCTTTCATAATACGCAAATCTTGAATTTCGATTTTCTGTTCTTCAACTTTTACCTTTTGAACGAACGTAAGAAAATTATTCAACAAACTCGATAAGAAAAAGGAACAAAAAGAACAAATAGAAAAAAAGACCTTTAAATTGTCTATCTCATGTTGTAGTTGTTCGATCTTATTATCATATCGTTTGTTCCACTTATTCATTTCATTCTCCATAGTTTTAATATTATCTTCATAGTATGAACAAAGTTTTCCAGTAAATATTTCCTCCAAGCTTTGTTCCTTTCGATATTCGTTCAATTCATTCAAAAGATTTTGCTCTTCTACGTCGTGTTTCAATTTTTGTTGAGTTAATCTCGCTTTTTCCCAATTTTCAACGTAACCTGAGAACATAAGTATTTTTATATGTATATAGAATTATTATTTGATTAAAATATATCTAAATAAAAGTTTGGTAAATGAAAAGAGAGATGATTTGTATATTAAATTAAATATATTATTTTAATTTAAAAATATTTTTACTATTATATGATTATACTATGTCTTTTTCGTTATTATTATTATTATTGTTGTTGTTGTTGCCAGTGATCACAAATTGGATTACGTTCATTTTCTTTGATTGATGCAACATATTACAAATACAATTAATAATCACGTACTCATTTTCAATGCTATCTCGTAAACAGTATCGTCGACTTTTCCATTTGTTATCTGAGCCAATTCTATTAATTCTCTTTTCTCGCGTTCCTTTCTGCTAGTTTCATCTTTGATCAATTCTCGTAATTGATTAACTTGATTCTCCCAAATCCTACAATTTTCTTCGAGATCATGTTCGTCCTCGAACATTTTCGCGATATTATTCACTTCTTGTTCGAGTCTTTCGAATTTTCGAAAACGTTTGATCTCATCGAGTGTCTCACTTAAAATCTTGTGCATGTAAGTTCTGAAATATTACCCCTTACGAAAGGTAAAATTTATTTAACAATTCGAGTACAAGGAACAAATATATATATATAATTTATAAACATATTTATAAAAAAAATTATTAATAAAAATTTGATTAATCACCTTCCCTTTCTTTACGCGTATAAAAATTCGTTTTACCAAATTTGTTGATATGTGTTGATAACAAAAAAAAAAAAGAAATATATTACTATTAATTCACAAACGACAAATACGAACCTGTCTCTCTGAAGTTTTTCTGCCACTGACAACGTCAATGGTGGCAAATTAGCTTCCTTCCTGAATATTCTATGAGGATCCCTCGAGATATCGTATTTTTCATTTATGGGTTTTACAATATCGTCCCAAAGATCATTGATCTCCGCTGGTATAGCATATCTTAAGATAGCTAAATGATTAACGCATTCCTCAAGGACACAGGCTATCACTTTTGCTTCGTATAATGATAAAATTGATGGAGGATAAACATCGATTTGCAAACTCATCACTGCTATATCATCCGATTTTTCGAATCTTTTTTTAAGTATTAACACTTCCGAGATCGTCGTTCGTTTATCTTTGATTGGCTGTATATTTATTATAAATGTTATACAATAACCGTGTTATAAGATGCCATGTTGAAGGAGGGCTACCTGAATTTTTTTCTGGCTGTCGATCGAAGAAGTTTCTGCTTCCATATCGATTGAGATTTTTGGTAATCGAAATATACTTGGTCTAGATTGCAATATGGTTCCACGTTTTTTATATCTTATTAAATCTTCTCCTTGTAAAAGTTTTTTCGGTTCAACGTCAGAAATGGCTGTAGTCGTATCTTCTTCTTTTTTTATACTTTCTTCCCTCATTCCTTCTATTACCTGAACATTTGGTTTTCTTTTTTTTATTTAAATAGAATTTTTCAGATTTTTTAAATTAATAAAACAWATATAATATAATATATATTATAATTATATACTATTATACATAAATTTATATTTTTATATTATTTTATATTATTATATGTAATATAAATATATAATTACATACAAATAAATATATAAAATTAAAATTTAATTTAAATTAAAAAAAATTAAAATAAAATATTAAAATTAAAATTAATGAAAATATTAAAAAATATAAATATGTGTTCTTTTATCGATTTTTAAAATAAAATATATTTATGAGTATTTGTTTAGTATTGACATAAAAGTTAAAATTGATTATATTTCTCTTACCATCGTTTCTTTATCGATATTTGAAATCTTATTTAAATTCATAACCAAAGAAATAGCACTTTTCTTCTTTATAATCTCAATTGCAGTATCCTCTTTAGAAATATCACGAATGTCGATCATACCTATTCGTTTTTGATCCAGCACAATCGATGATATTGTACTTAAAGGATTTTCTTTCATGAAATTTTGCACGTTTTCTTCACTGCTTGTTTCTGAATTCTCTGCCATGATTTTCTTCAATTTTTTTTATATGAAATATATTCTAATTTTGATAGTATATTTATATATAATATTTAGGAATTAAAAAAGGTTACTTTTTTTTTATTAATGTTATAGAAGAAATCAGTTTTCTTCTGTTTTTTATTTTTTCCTTTGCTTTGTAACGAGTCATAATGAAAAAGTTTACGCGCATGTGAATGTTTCATTTTGAAAAAATTACGTTTATTAATTTTATACGATCATCTATAATTTAATGAACATTTTGATTAGTTTATCATTCTTTCATTTTTTATTTTTGCATAAGATAAGATCGTTTAGATTTATTTCAATTTTATAATACTGCAATTTAATTCTTATATTACGTGAATTTTTATATTACACGTTATATTACACATTTTTATTTAACACATTCTGTGTCAAGCCCTTTTTTCTTGACTTGTCATTAAGGTCATTTAATTTTGCTTTAACAAAATCAACCATTACATGTAATTATTAATTATTATAAATATAACAATATTAAACAAACTTATGTGCTTTGTTATAAACTGCATTTTGTATAATGCATCAATATTTTTTTGATGCATATACATGATGCATTTTATTTATAATAATATTCTTTTATAGAATTAAATTTGTTATAAAAATATATTTTCAGCGCATTAAGGGCGGCGATACATGTAAAATAAAAAAAAATCGAATTGATTTTTTTTCATAAATAGTTAGTTTAACATTTCAAAAATATGCCTGTAAATGTTTAGAATGAAATTCGCATTATTTATCGATTAAAAACTCATTTAAGTGCTACGCCTCAACTCGGCGCTCGAGCGCTACTAAGTTCGTACCAAAACGCTCGACTCTCGCTACCTGCTTCTCAGATTTCTGACCTTGGGGTCTTTTGTATTGAAGACTCGGGTGAGTAGATGTTCGGAAACTCTTTTGTTACTCATTTCTACGAAAATATCAACTGTATAGTTACTATAAAGTACATTAAAACCAGTGTTGTCGTTAATTCAGTTCAGTTCAGTTCAATTCAGTTTACTTCTGGAGTTCGTTCTGTGCGGAGTAATTTAGTCAGTGAAATAAAATAAAATGCAGTCTTATCCTAAAAAATACTAAACGTGGAACGTTTCGTGCCTTAAAACCAACAAAGAGGAAATTCCATGGTAATCAACATACCAATAAGCAGCATAGATACCGAACCGCAGAGTAGAAGCGCGAGAAAACTCTCTAACTCTGGCGAAGAGGATGTCCATTATAATGCGCTTCATGGGTATCGTTTTCTTAAGTTTTTTACAGTGTTTACAGCTTTAACAGAGATGTTGATATGTCGTGATTGTAAATTACCTGTAAAATTTGAAGAGAGTGACAACAGAGGGTTAGGTTTTAAAATCGTCGTGCTGTGTTAGTGTGGTCGCAGAGACATAAATTCAGGACCGTTAATTAATAATGGGTTTGAAGTCAATCGCAGAATTGTGTCAACTCTACTATCTGGCAACTTTGTCCAAAACATCTGAATTCTGGACTGAAAATTGTTGAAATTAGTGCTTTTATATCTACTGGATTATTCAATGACGTTACGAACGAGTTATGAACTCATTACAGATAGTTATTGGTCGACAATGCATCGCCTACAAAGACAAAATCGATGACCAAAGGGTGAGCCGAGATCGCCGCAGTTCTTTGAGCTCTAGGAATTGAGTGGGGGTAGGAGAAATGGCGGGAAGTTATATATAAGAGGGGAAAACACTTTTACTTTTCGATATTAGTCACTGAGAAATTATCCAAGATAAAACTGCCAACTGTAATTGTGTAATTGTATAGTACACATAATATATCGTTATAACCTATAAATTTTAGCACAAATTAGAATTGATAAATATTCTGGTAAATTTAAGTACACACACTTGCGTCATTTAAATCTCGTTTGAAATCTCGTTTGTATTCGCGTGCTTTGACGACCTCCTTCCTATAGGGGGTGGGGGATGAGGAGAGGGGATTTGAAATTAATTTACACGGAAGTTTTAGTTCAACAGTCTAAGTGGGTTTCACTTTGTATGATTTTATAATACAAATCGATACGACTTGTTGTAAAAAATTTTGTATTTTTTGTTCTTCTTTGTCCATTAGAGAATTGTATGTTGTTGGATAAACGTGGAGGATAATACTTTACGAGAAAATCATTAAAAAGACTATAATAAAACGTCGCGTGAAAAGTTAACGCGAGTTTTAGCGTTACAAAGGTAAACACATCGTTGTTGAAAGCATCAAGAATGATTTCCTAGTAACTAGTAAAAAGATTAATGGCTTTCGAAAGTTTCTTTCTTAAATAGAAGAAGAAGAAGAAAAATACATCGGTGAAATAAGAACCTATATGAATTATAGTGGACTCATTTGATTACGCCCTTTACGAATACGTTAATTAAAGCATCTTACTATGTATCACAGAAAAGAGTATGTGTGTATAATTAACACAATGTAGATAAGTTCACTATCATTACATATCATTCGTAAATTAAATTTTTTATGGAACCTCGTTATACATTTCTACAATGTAATAGAATGTAAAACAAAATATGTATATATGTAATATAAATTTTTATATTAATATAATTATTAGTTTTATTCATATATAATATATATTTAATTTAATTTTAATATATATTTTTAATATTTATTTTTAATATATACATATTTACATATATATTATTATACTATATTATTATTTCTTTTTGTAAAAAAAAAGATTAAAATATTTTTAAAATTATTTTGTCTCACGTCATCTGTGTGTTATATTTGATATACGTTAAAAAAAAATAAATATATGATTTTTTATTTAAAAAAGAAAAAAAAAGAAAGAAAAATATAATGAAACTATAATTTAATAAATTATAAATAATAATAAAAATATAATATAATAAATATAATAAATAATATATATTTTATAAATATATAAAATAATATAATAAATAAGTAATTAAAATTGTCGTACTTGTTATTAAAAATTACTTGAGTTAAACGTAACGTATAAAATAATATCACGTAAATAATTGAACGTACATTAATTGAAAATCAAACGTTTATTTTTTGTCAAAATGAAATTTTTTAAACCGAATAAAAATCTTTCGTGCATTAAATGGAGATTTTAATTTTTGTATATCCAAAGTTAAGGTAAATAAAAAAAATATTTTTACTTATGTATAGGTGATGCTTGTATTGTTACATGGAGTTGGATGTTTGATTTCTTCTTATTTTTATTTTTATTGTTATTTTTCCTCTTTTATAGAACGAAGAACAGGAAATATCAGTCTATCTATCCTCGGTACGTTGCAATTATATCCGTGACACTTGACAAGATCGTATTAGATGGACATATGATGTTGGTTTATCTCTGTCTTTCTTTCTCTTTCTTGATCGATAGATCGGCATCCATTTTATTTTTTTTCTTTCACGTTCCACACTGGATGTACTGGACATTGGAATGCGAGAAAAAAGTCATTGTCCAAACGATACTATTTGTCTTTTTCAAAAAGTCGTTGATAAACCCGTTGATAAACTTGTTACAAATCTTTCGGCCTTTAATTATCTAAAAGTTAAACAAAAGTATCCCTTTTTGATCAAATAAATGTATTTAATAAGTATTATTGATATTGAACCGTTTTATTATAATAAATTCATGATTAATATTTGGAAAAGTATTATATCAAAAATATATATTTATAAATATAATAAAATAATCGAATATAAATAATACATATCGATTACACAAATGTATTCCGTTTGATAAAAAAAAAAAACATATTTAATAAGTATTTATTGGAAAAGTATTATATCAAAAATATATTTATAAATGTAATATAAAAATTGCATATATCAATTAAACAAAAGTATTTTTTTTTTTTTTGATAAAAAAAAAATATAATATTTAATAAGTATTATTGATATTGAACCATTTTAGTATAATAAATTCATAATTAAAGTTAGGAAAATTATTGTATCAAAAATATATTTATAAATATAATATATAATAATCGAATATATTATCACAAATATGTTGTTCAATCAAAAGAATAATAATTAATTTTTAAACTAAATATAAAATTTACGCTAATTTGGATTTATTTCTCCAAAACCAAAATTTTTAAGATAACAAAATTTCTTTACTATATATTATATCTTATATCTTATTTTCTATTACATAAAATATACATTTATATAATATATAATAAATATATTAATATTTATATAAAATATTTTTTATTATATAATATATATCTATATATATTATATATTATTTTTATCACTTCATCTGTGCGTTATATTTGATATACGTTAATGAACAAAAATAGCAATTAACGTTATTATTCTCGTAAAAGGTTTAATAAAAATAAATATAAAATTTTCTATTAAAAAAAAAAAAAAATACTTTAAA